ACATCACAGGCAGAGGTCTGAGTCTGACACACTCTGAATCTGTAGGATGGCTCCCACTGTTCTTCTGATCGGCTGTCTGCTCGCCACAATCAGCTGCTTAACCACAGATAACATTCACATCAGCTGCGCTGTAATCTGTGTCAGATTTTAATATAGTTTTAGTTTTCATTTACGGAATTAGTTCCACTGACTGGCTAAGGATACTACAACTACCACATCAATTACCTCCTTACCTACTACAACATCACCTACACCAGCACTAACTCCAACTACAACACCACCACCAACAGCACCAACTACCACAACTACAGTCCATCCATCAAACCTGAATATTAAAATGTTACATTACAATGCTCACTTTAAACTTCTCAAACTTCTGTTATATTGGTTTTAGATTTAGATTGTATAAAAATCTGTTCTATTGTACATCACATTCCTATATCTTCAATATGATTCACAAATGTGTGCAGTGTAATTCCATTAGTGTAAAACATCCACATTCATGCACAGCCTTGTCTTTTCTAGTGGTGTTTAAGACGGAGCTCTATGGCTTCATACTGAGCTGTCATCAACACATCTCTTCATTAGTAAGAGATTTTCAGTTTTAGTTTAGCAAGTTTGAAAAACAGTTGTCTTATGTAGGAAATTTGAGCTTTTTGTTGTAGTTATTAGAGCTGAAGTATTGATACAGACGATTTCGATTCACAAGCTTACTGTGTGTATGTAATAACAAAATAGGTAATTATTTTATAATCGCAGCATTTTATCTCACAAATCTTTGACTTTTCTCATAATTGCAGTTCTGATTTTATTTTTCTTGGGATTGTGAGAAAAATGTCCAAATCGGAGATAAAAACTCTCAATTACTTTATTTATCTTTACTATGTGGCCAAATCAAGCTTTCATAGTATACAAGCATTTGCATTATATTTAGTGATATACATCTTTCCAGAGGTGTGGTCACTTGAATAATTTTACTAATGTAAATGTAACGGTCTGTGACACAAGCTGCTTTACTTGCAGCCGATTGAACAATTACATCAGAGATACATTCTGATGTTCATTTTTGTTTATTTCGTTCTATAGTATAACTTGTAGTAAAGATGAAGAGATGTTCGGTTGACGTCCGGAGTCAATTACTGTTACGATCTTCAGCTGGAGTGTCCATGAACTCCTCTAGAGGGACTCCATCCCAGACCTTTGCCACTGTATCCTGGACTCCATTTCCCATAACACCCTCTGCCTAGGAACTGATTGCATGCACACCTGTTTCCTGTCAGTAGGACTATTTAAGCAGCACACAAACACACTCACATTGAGAAGTCTTGTTTAGCTGTTTGCAGACATTACTAAGTGTTTTCCTGAGTTGAGGAGAATTTTCTCCTATTAAATTCGGATAAGACAGAGATATTACTTATTGGACCAAAAGACAGTACACAGAATCTCGTGGATTACAATTTGCAACTAGACGGATGTACGGTTACTTCCTCTACAGTCAAAAATCTGGGTGTTATATTAGATAGCAACTTGTCTTTTGAAAATCATATTTCCCATGTTACAAAAACAGCATTCTTCCATCTTAGAAACATTGCCAAGTTACGAAACATGTTACCTGTTTCTGATGCAGAAAAGCTAGTTCATGCATTCATGACCTCTAGACTGGACTATTGTAATGCACTGCTAGGTGGTTGTCCTGCATCTTCAATAAACAAGCTACAGGTAGTCCAAAATGCAGCGGCTAGAGTCCTTACCAGGTCAAGAAAATATGATCATATTACCCCAATTCTACAGTCTCTGCACTGGCTACCTATTAAATTCCGTATCAGTTACAAAATATTATTACTTTAATTTGCTGTAAAGTTGCTTTGCAATGATTTGTATCGTGAAAAGCGCTGTACAAATAAACTTGACTTGACTTGACTTTTCCATGTTTACATTGCCTTGTTTTTAGCCTTGTCTTGTTTATACCTTGCCTTGCCTTGCCTGTGTTTTGGACCTTGGACTGTTTTATTGTCGTTGTGATGGTTTGTTGCCTGCCCTGACCATTACCTGTTTTTGGATTACTCTTTGTCACACCTCGGATACTGTTGTTTGCTGGTGTTGGACCCTGCCTGTTTTGACCAAGATCTGTTTTAATAAAAGCTTGCATTTGGATCTTCATTGTCACGCCCATCTGTTACAATTACAGTAAAGCTTTCACACTGTCACACATGATTAAACTAAAAGTTTTGTTTGATTTGTGATAACATTGACATAATTGGAAAGCTGATACTTTATCAAAAGTATCAAAACGCAACTCTTTTGGGTTTATTGGATGGGAGGCGCGATAAAGTTAATTTTGTTTACTTATCTCGTACTTAGGATTTACAAATCAAGATCATTAGAATCAAGATTGCGAAACAAAATCTATATTTTTGCTCAGCCCTAGACTCAATTAATGTGCATGTTAGCCACATGTTTGCTCTCTGATTTTACAGTAGTGACTAGTCAAACTAGTAATGTTACCTCCATCCCTGTAACCACACGACCTGGAGTGACCAATGCAACTACCACTCAAACTCCTCTCCGTGAGTGTTTCCTTCATGTATGTGTACAATAAATCACATTGTATTCAGTGTCACATAACCCACATGAAATCATCCTAATATGCTGATTTGCTGCTCAAGAAACATTTCTGATTATTATCTGTGATAAACTGTGATTTGATGAATATATATTTTCTGGTATTTGTGTGACATAACATTTCCTGTTTCACTGTAGTGATGTTTTTCTGACAGGTGGAAGTTGTGCGAGTCCAGATCTGTGCTGCTCTGGATATAATAGCAGCTGTCACCGCTTGAATTGTTTTTGTGATGTTGCTTGTCTGAGATTAAATGACTGCTGCCCTGATTTCAAACCCACCTGCCTCACAGGTATTCAGAAATATTCAGGAATGACACAAGTTGCAGTAATCAGATTGTGTTCTACTCTGTACTACATGATTAATGTACTTTACTGTGATCAAGTGCTTTTTGAGAGAGAGAAAAAATTGTGCACATATACTAAGAAACTTATTAATCTTCCCCTCTTTCCCTTTTATAGTAAATAACAGCACAAAACCAAACAACACTGCCACTAACAGGTTTGTTTTATACTTACTATTTTCTATAATTATTCTATATCACGTGAGTCTGTATTCTTATTTTGAGTTCTCTAGATCTTTAACTCTGCATTGGATGTCAAATGTTGCATGGATGTCTTGGTAACTGAAAATTACAATAATTTTAAAATTATTCATGAGATTGTTAGCAGCATCTGCATTTGCAGTCTTATTTTCAGTCATTATCAGTGAGTGTTTCCACCACATTTCACTAAATAGTTTATTTTTGGGGATCAAACAATGTGTCACAAAAACTGTAAAAGTAAGTGTTACCAATACTTCTCATTAAAAAAATTTTTTTTTGGTTACAAGAAGGTTTTTCATAAAAAGAAAAGAACAGTTCCTGAAACTTCAAATATTGAAAATATTAATAAATGCATTTAGTTTTCATAGTATGTATGTTAGGATAACTTTACATAGGGTGCATCTCAATCAGCTCCCTAGCTCCCTAGGTAGTGAATCAGTATTGTGTACACAAATCCAGGCACTGGTAAGGACTGAACAACAGCAGAAATTATATTTTTCTGACATTATTGTTTTAATGTTATTTAAAGTATATAAATACTTTGTTACATATGCCAGTAAATGAATGATAAATGTTAGTTGATTATGTTCACTACCTGTTTAGTGATGTATGTTTATGCTGACAAATAATTAAATAATGGTTGGTTGGTTAGTTGGTTGGTTGGTTTAAAACATCTATTGCGTCACATTATGTGCATTGATTTATGTTTTGGCCTTCAAAATTTCTGTAAAAGGAACATACAGAGCATCAATGTTCCCTGGTTTTCACTATGCATTGTGGGACTTTTTAAGGAGGGAACGTTTCAGTGGACTGCAATATGGCAAGCCGTTTAACATTTAATCCTTAAAATGCACTACTTTTAGTATCTATTTCATTAGGTACTAGTACTTATTCATTAGACACTAGTGCTACTAGTGCGTATTCTTTAGGTATTAGTACCTTTTTAAAAGATACTAGTACTTATTCATTAGATGCCATTCTGTTCTTCGTTGTTACATGCACTGCAGTCAGAATCACTGCAATCAATTTTGCATTTATTGCCAGATGATTCCTGAATCCTCTCAGATAAAACATGCATTGCATCTGTGACTTTCTCTATAGTTTTCAATAGCACAACTGCAGCTCCACCCAAAGGTAATTAGCGCCCAAGCACTGATGGTGCTCCTCCGTTTATTCATTGTGTGTGTGTATATAAATGTGTAGGTCACGTTTTACCATCACTGTTGCAACTGAAGGGCAGAGAAACCTGAAATCACTAATATGTGTTTTGTTATTTTGCATATCTTCTCACAGTACTCACTGTTCTGGAGGTGAAGGTGAGGACGTTGTTGACTGAAGAAGAGCGTCAGGCTGCACTGCTTCAGGTGAGAGAAGCGTTTCTGACTGTTTTATTGTGTCCAGTTCACATACTTGCACTACATGCTAAACGTGCTTAGTTTTAGGTATGTAAAAGAAAGGACACCAGTACTATAAAACAAATCACTAGCATCAAGCCTCAGCCTCACAATCGTTGTACAATCGAGTTGATAGTGAACAGGTGGGGCGTCACGTCTCTTTTAGGCCCCAAAGTGATTCTATTGGCTGAAAGAACTTTTTAAGGCTATCTATTCTGTGCCTGATCCTGTGCCATTATTGCTGCTTGTTCTGAACCATAAAAATAAATCTTCTGTGTGAATTGGGACACAGCTTTATAGTGCTCTTCTTCTTCTGAAACTGCTGTTTTCTCACATCCTGTCATCTTTTTCTCCCCCTCAGGTTGGCACTGTGCTGGAGAAGTTGTTAAGAGAGAATAATACTGACATCTACTCTTTTAAAGTCACGAAAATTAAACGGGTATCACAATAGGATCGAGTCAGAAATCAGAAAGAGGAACAGACATGAATAAGTGCATGAATAAAACTTTTACTATTTTATATTTGTTGATGGTTCAACAAAAATCCGTGTTTCTGTGTATGTGTGAATTAAACTATGGAAAGAATGTGTAAGGAAACCCCAGATTTATTGCTTATATGCTCTAATGTAGTTCTTCTGTGGAAGGGAATCTGCTGCTGCTGCTGCTGTTTTAACATTGTCTTAATTTCTCTGTTTTTGAGATTTGTGTATGATGATCGCACCGAAATTATGAGGAAGAGCTCTTATGAACCCAAACATAAAACAAACACAAGCAAACAACTAAAACTGTCATTCTGTTGGGTTTTGTGATCGTCAGTGCTCAGTGTGTTTGCTGCTGCTGCAGTTTGTTCAGTAAATGTTGCATGAATGATTTCTCTGAGAACTGAGCAACGGTTTCCGAGTTTTTCTGGGAAATATGGAGACCAATTACCAGATTTTGTCAGAGTTTGGCCTCCACTGTCCTCTGAAACCCATTCAACTATGAGAAGAGAATCTTATTTTAGACCAGACTGCTTCATCAGGACCAGACACCAGTGTGAGATGGCTTTATAAAATATTTTTTAATCACCCACGGTTTCAATTAGTTCAGACTTTTTAGGACATTCTCCCAGACTTACAGAGCATGCTTTCATTTAAGGAAATAAACACAAGGAAATGAGCTTTTGCTGCAAGACTCCTGAAATGACTCTTATTTTGTAACTCTCTCAGTTTTTCCTAAAATCACTCTCACCCGTTATCCAGTTTGACTAAATAGACAGTGAGAATTCACAAAACACTCGCTGAAAAAAAAAATCTGAAGTATTTTTCATATAGAAGACAAGCAACAGTTTCCATTTCACGATTTATAAAAAGTCGTGCAAAAATAATTACCGTATAAAAACAAACAACAATAATTTAGCACTAGCTGCTAAAGTGTATAAAAGATGTTAAATATTAACTTACTATGCATCCCAACATTTCAAGTCCGTAATAATATTAGATCTGGGTTGCCAAAGACATTTTGCAGTCAAACAAGTCGTATTAAATAGTCAAATGAATGTGTTTGGATCAACGCAGCAACACTGACCACCAAAATGAACGACCCTCTGACCCAGCAGATGTTTAGTGTTAAAAATAACTATGATTTAACGTCATGACAAGCATTAATAAGCGTCACATAACATTCAAAAGTGCCATCAGTCGCTCGCTCACATCTTCACTATTTAAAAGCAAAGCAGAAGTGTCTCTAAATTCATTATCACTTTAAAACATGAAGTACTTTTAAAAGATCTTGTGCATGAGAGTTTGCACTTTTGCACCCTTTCTCATGTTGAAGGATGAAAATTGAAGGCCACGTTGTGTGTTGTATATTAAAAACAGTCCTTGGATTCAGATTTCTTGTCCTGTGTGCAACATGACCGGCAATGACCGACTCGCAGCATCAGTCTCGCATTCCCACGTCTCCTCCTTAAATGCCACTCAAACCCACAGCAGGTCAAATGTAGAGTCCAGTAGGCGTGAAGCTCAGTGAATGCGAGCCGTTTTCCCCATCACCTTATTTTTCGTACCCGACAGTAGCTGTATTTTGTGTGAATGATGTTCGTTCGTGTCTCAGTTCGCTCTCATCTTGCTGGAGATCCAGTTTGTGTAGTTTGTGACACGCGTGTAAACGCCAGGCGTGTCTTTCTTCCCGCAGCCGTCGCCCCAGCTGATCAAACCCATCAGAGTCATCCTGCCGTTTTTGGGACACACCAGAGGGCCGCCTGAATCCCCCTGAAGAACGAGCAGGAGAACCGATCAATAAAGATGCAGAAATCACTCATGTAATGCAAACAGAGAGGCTGAATGTGTTGTCACCTTGCAGGCGTCGTCCAGGCCGCGAGTGTCTCCGGCGCACACCATGTTTGGAGTGACCAGACGGCCTGACAGCTTCTCTGGGACACACTGTTCCTGCGGCCACAAGCGCACCAGACCACGCTTAATTCGCTCCGAGTAAAACGGAGAAACTGAGAGAGACAACAACAGAAGAAAGAGTCAAATGATCATTCAGTCCCTCAGTGACTTCAGTGGTTTTTTTGGACTATCAAGAAGCACTGCAAAAAAAAAAAAAAAAAAAAAAAAAAAAACATTTTTATTTTCTATGCAGATGCATTTCCCAACAAAATCACCCCAGTAATTCAGGAATGATTAATTCTTTCCAAATATGGCTATTCAGGTCATTTGGTGAATATTCCTGTCTTTTTCCATATTGCATTATACAGTATATTACATAAAAACTAAATATCGCAATGTCAGGTTTCTCCAGTATCGTACAGCTCTAGTCTTCAGTTCGTTAAGTAGTCTGTCTTAAGGAATTACATGATTTATTGTTGCATGTGGTGGGTTACAAAAGCTGCAGTGTCTGTAGCAGCGGTGCTATAGATGGATTTAGACTTTCTTAGAGAGGCTTTTACCCTGCTGACAGTAATAGTTACTGTTGGACCGTTAGCATGCTGCTGTCAGCACACTAAAACACCTCGGAGAAGAGTCTCCAAATGTATCCCCGGGAAAAATCTAAAGATAAAAACACTAGTCGACCTAAGCCAGTTGTTGGGCAACTAGTTAATGAGTAGACCGTCTTTAGTCACTGTACGCATGAGCCAGTGGTCTAATTGTCTGGCTCGGCTGGACGAGTTGCTCAGTTTCACCTTACATGAACGTCCAGTTATTGGAAATGTGAAACTGTTCCTGGATAAAAGCGCTGGATGAGTCACAGTGGTACATGCTGAAC